GATCTTTGCTGAGACTGCGCGTATGCTTGTAACAAGATGATACTGGTATATCATTATGTGCAGGTTTTTACAAGTTCAAAATGTATTGCGACCAAAACTTACACAATTATATCATTATGTGCAGGTTTTTACAAGTTCAAAATGTATTGCGACACAAAGCGAATGCCTACATCCTACAACTTACACAATTTTATAAAATATATAATATTTTTTTTACTTCATAGGTACTTTTATAAATAATGTATATGTCTTTATATTATAAGATAGTATAATAAATTATTCTGTATGATGTAATAGTAAATAGTACTATCAGTGTATTTTGAGATCCACTATTGTGGACCCCCATTTTCATTTCATAAACCCCCAAATTGTTTTTTCGCTGACGTAGACCCCTTGCAGGTTGTCATAGACCCCTGGAGGTCAATATAGACCACTTTGGGAATCACTGGTCTAAACAATGAAAAAATATGTTGATTTCGAGAAACTAAAGAAAAAAATATATAATATGAACAAAAATTTAAGGAAACAAATATCTTATATAATCATTGAAATTAAAAGTATAATGATATTTAAAGTGTAATCAAAATTATAAAAATTTCTAGAAGAATTCTATAGGAAATATATACTCAAAATACTTATAGTAATCGAAACAACAGAACTTTAAGAAATCCAATTTTTCATGAAATAAAATAGTAAAATATCAAAAATTAATTCAATAATTTAATATTGCTTACAAAAATGAGTGTGGAGAAAAAGAAATTTAAAAAAATAAAATTGGATTCTGAAAAATTGATAGATTTACTCAAAAATAATTCTGTGTGAAAATATTTTTCATAATAAATTTCAATGGGAAACCAGAAGAAACATGATTGTCGCGTCTTTTGAGGAGTATTAATTTACAAAAGGCTTCAAATTATCAAAATTATATGTGAAACGATCGGAACTGAAAACTCGTAAAAAAAAGTCAAGTATCTCTTTGCAAATTTTCTGGAACTGTCTATGAAACACGACCCGATAAGCATAAACTTTGCACACAAATTACTATGCTCGTTTCATAAACTTCTGAATCACTTCGAAAAAAAAAATTACAAGGAGAATTTCTTTAAATCGGAAAAGCTAATCCTAACCTTGAATATACAGAATATGCAACAACAAAATGAATAGCCTATATTAAATTAAGTGATACAAAATTAATGAACTAAAAGAAACAAGGTTACATAATCACACACAACCAGTATTAAGTTACACACTTAACAATAATTTACATATGTACTAACTACACTTAAAATAAAGAAACATTGATTAAACAGTGAAATGAAATGATAACTTACCGATCATATAAAGTTTGTGTAAGTATACATGACCTGAGCGTGTGTTTCCAAACTTGTAATCCTTTCATCTAAATCCTAGTTTCCATTCATTCATGCATTTTATAATTCTTGTATCTATGCATTTATTAGTCAAATTTTTGTAATCCTCAAATCTCATTCATCTCGCTCATCCCTCATAGATCTTATATAATCCTTCATGATAATTGGAAAGGTCCTACTTTGCACAGAACAGTTAAAGTATGTGATGAAGTTGTCTCCAAACTGTTATTGACTTCCTGATTTACAATTCGAAATAAATTAATTATTTAAACTGGATAATCTTAATTGAACTTACTTATTTGCAACTGTTCGTTCTCTTCGGAATACTCTTTTGTCATTTGTATGAAAAATCATATTTCACTAAGTATTTTCAATTATTTATAAATCAGCAACTTTCTGAAAAAAAAAATGTTGATTTTTTGTTAATTCGAATTTAACTCTTACTTGTCTATAGATGTCATCATTCAATCTTCATCACTTAATTAATGTATTTCTTAATTCTTCTTTCACTTTTAGTTACTAAATATAATTTAACTATTTTCACAACATTATTGCCATCTCATAGTTGCATTTTATTTCCACTAACTAAACTTTCTTCATATTTCTAATTGACTTCAACTGAATCATTCTAAAAATGTATACAATGTAATTATAGTTAATTATAAAAAGACATACAAAAATTACCTATTTAAAGTTTGGATAATAATCATTATTCATTAAATTTACTTTTAATGAAAAATACTTCATGGTTTTTTTCATATATATTTAAAGACCAAATTTCTGAAAGAGTTAAGTGATTAAATTTATTTTAAACAAAATTAAGTCAACTTATACTCACTTTCACCGACTCGTTTATTTGTTTCAAATTTAAATCTTTGAATACATCTTTGGGTTCCTCCTACTAAGTAATTAGTTGTATTCCCATATTTTCTAATCAATCACAACTTACTAAAAAAAAAATTTTTCATTAAAATTTCTTACTTTAGTATCAACTTACACCTATTCCATTGAATTAGTACTTCGGAAGGTACAAATAATTTCCATTTCCAATATAAATTGTATGCATATTTTACCACTCTTTTATTTATAACATCTTTGGAAGTATGTAACATCTTTGGATAATTCCTATTAAATATTTAGTTGGATTGTAATATTATCTGAACAATCGCAACTTTCTGAAAAATCGTAATTTTTATACACATTTCAAATTTGATATTTCACTGTTAACTTACATCTATTCCTTTGAATTAGTACTTCGGAAGGTACAAATAATTTCCATTTCCAATATAAATTGTATCCATATTTTACCACTCTTTTATTTATAACATCTTTGGAAGTATGTAACAACTTTGGATAATTCCTACTAAATATTTAGTTGGATTGTAATATTATATGAACAATCGCAACTTTCTGAAAAATCGTAATTTTTATACACATTTCAAATTTGATATTTCACCGTTAACTTACATCTATTCCTTTGAATTAGTACTTCGGAAAAACGTAATCTCCAATTTTTATTGTCACCTTGTCAGCTTATGTTTTTGGTACTGAATGTAACATCTTTGGATTATTTATTCTAGATAATTAGTTGAATTTACTAAAATTGAATTTGTATTAAAATTTTCATATTTTATATTTAACATACTTTTGTCCAACTAGTACTTCGGAAGGTGAACATCAATTCCATCACCCATTTATATCCTACTATATTTATTGTCTTTAATCTGAAAAGATTTATTTCAGACGTTTTCATTTATTTTAATTTAATTTCACATACCTGTATCTATTTTATACATTACTTCGGAAAATGTTTATTTTCTAAATTAGTTTACCCAAATCTTAGGATCTAATTGAAATCTTGAAGGTAAATTTGTCTGAAAATATTCCAATTTTAATTTTATTATACTTCATACTATCATATTTCAACTTAGCTTAAGTATGATGTACTTGAATTTACGAAGTAGGTTGAGTCTGAAAATAAGAAAAACTTAGTACTATTATATTCCAATTTATCAAATTTATACATGCCTTTTCAGTATTTCAGTCAAGTGAAAACACAAAGTTGAATCAACCTGAAAATAATATTAACTATACTCCAATTTATCAAATTTCAACTTGTTTTTTAAGTATTTGGAGCCAAATGTAATCACGAAGTTGAATCTCTCTGAAAATATTATAATATTAAATTAATTAAGATCCATATTTATACATGTATAGTTACCTTTCTAAATTATTTGATCCTATTGAAATCTTTAAGTATAATATCATAGTACACTATTTGAACTTAAGTAATTTAAAGATATTTTTTTCTTTAATTCTCAGTTAATACATATTTTTTGGAGATACAAATCACTCCAGTTTTATACAATTTACATTTTTCATAACATTTTTTTTCATACTGAAAAATAATTAAGTATATATATCGGTAAATATTTTTTTTTTTAAAGATGGTCAGAATCTAAACTGGTGGGAGGTTATGGGCAAAATACAAAATCACCTTTAACTCAGAAAATCATATTATTTTAAGGTTATATAAAAAAAACAAAAATTTTCTTCATTACAAGTTTTAATACAAAAGTACACACAACACCAAACATGTATATTACAAAATATGTAGTATTGATAGTTATTTGTGAATGGTAACCTTTTCTCTCAAATGCTTTTATAGAATATTACATAGTTTTCTTTGAATTATTATTTTTCTCTTTGTTCGGTAAAAAAATGCATAACACGTACCTAAAAGTAGAATATCCCTGCACATCTCTTGGTGTTGACAACCTCAAAAATAGAAGAAGAAAAAACATCATCAAAAACTGTTTGCCTATGAACATATTGAGAATCGAATGGGTGTCGTCCTTCAATTTAATATCGACTACTCATTCTAGAATATAATACAAAAATACTTATCTTAATACTGGCATCACCACTTCAACCTCCGCAAAAAAACGAACCCGAAACCTGTATAAATAAAATAAACATATACGATTATTTGAATTAAAAATCAGTAAAAGTAACAATTTAAGTAATTTTTAAAAGTTAAAAAAAAAAGTATAAATTTAAAGTATGCAAAAACGTCATAAAACCTATATGTCGGTGTTCGTAGCGGAGGTGGTGATGGACATCCATCTTGGGACCTCGGACCTAAAATACATGCAAGGATAAAACCTGAAACATTAAAGTGGTCAAGTCAATTATTATTAAGTTTGCTATTCGTAATAGATGTTATATAACCTGAATCCCTGCATGTTACGGAGTGGAATCTCCGTGAACCTGGATTTTGGATCCAGGAACTTCTTCCAGGACTCGACCTGAAATTTTTTTATTTATTATTATTACATGACATTTATTTTTTAAGGGGTGGTGATCTTGTATACATTAAATATATCCATCAGATTTTTTGAGCAATTTGACGCGTGCGGTCAGAATCTAAATAATCGCTTTATAAAATGTTGGGCGGATAAATGCGCCACTTGTCTACAGAGGGTTGATTTATAAATTTCTGATGAGTATATACAACATACAAAACCACCATTATCCCTGAAATTCGTTTTTTTTTTAACTATTTCGTTCATTCTAACACTATGTAATATTCAATCTACAAAAATGTGAATATAATATAGAAAATAGGCTTAAAACATTATCAGCCGTTGCAAATGCATCTACATAGCATATATGCAATATAAAGATATATGTGTATATAAATATAGAAAAATTAAATGAAGCATTTTTTCGGTTACTCAACACTACAATATTACATTTACATACTATATTTTTTTAAGTTTCTTCATAATGTGATACATTATAGCTAATCAAATACGCTTGTTGTTCTTGTTGCGCAATAATGCAACAAGCTTTTGTTTCTGAATCTTCTCGATGCTCCATGTCTTTTTGATTTTGTCCAGTTTAGCCACGTATACGTAGTCGATGACGAGCATCTTCATTCGCGATGAAGATGCTTTCGATTTCTCAGTTTTTTCCGGCTTCTCGGGTATCTGATCATTGTTCCTCTTCTCGGGGTTCACGATGATAACATTACTCAACGCTGAGTTCATGGCTTCTTCTAAGCGTAAAGCGCTACAAAATAAACAGCTCGAAAATTCCGTAAAAACGCGAAGCATCATCTAAGTACTTACCTTTTTCTATCTTAAAGAAAATCTGATAAGCAAGCAGTTACTTAAAACTTCAATTTTCTGAAATTATCGTAAAAATTTTAATTAGTTTAAAGCAAATTTTATTTTTTAATCTAAATGCTGAAAATATAAATAATTTAATATTATTATTATAGTAATTATAAGAGAATATATTTGCAGCAAAAAGCAGATTGATGTAAATCATGATCAAAATCTATAGAAAATGAATTATAATTTATTTGAAATCAATTAAATAAATAAAATTAATTATATAAATATATAAATTATATTAATAAAAGAATTAATAAAAGAAATTAATAATTTATATTATTTAAAAGGTTTTGGCGGATATGGCGGCGGCGCCGGGTATATATGACTGCAACGTATGCGCAATAAATCCGATTGCCCGGATGCAAATATGTAAATTGATGTAGCGACTTCCGGTGTTGCGCATAATCAAATAAATGACGCGATAAAATATTCACTTTATTACACTTTTTTTTAGTTTTTTTTCAAGAAACCTTGAAAATATAATAATATAATTTCAATGTTTTAATTTAAAGTAAATTATTTAAATTTTGATTTTGATTTTAAATTAAAATAATTGCAAATCATTTGGATGTTAAAAGTAGAATGTGTTAATGTCACAATATTGTGGATGCGCAGGGTATATTTGCAGATGAAAATTCACAGAATTGATGGATGCAATTGAAAATCGATGTAGCCATTTCCGGAAATGCGCATATTCCGATATTTATCTAAAAATATCCCAAGTAAAGGATAAAATCTGTATTCAATTTCCAAATTATATTTTTTTATAATCATATGTAAAGTTGAATTAGTATTTAAAATTATTTAAAAAATGGATTTGGCCTTTTCTAGCCATTTGTAATATTTGAAAAATATTTATAAATCTTTTCACCTGTGAATTATCCTATTATTTACAAAATATTTAATAATGAAGAAGTAATCATCTATAGTTATTTGTCCACTTACAATAATTTGAATAAGTATTTAAAACAGCTTTAATCACTTTGGAATTAAGTTGACAGGTGTTCACTTCTTGGTTGTCACAACTAATATGATTTAATGTCCTGCACATCCTGATGGATGTGGAAGTATGTGAGGGGGTTGCATCTTTCAGCTCATGCGCAGATGAAACTTCCCAGATTTTGTATATATAATTGAAAATCGATGCAGCTGTTTCCGGTTATATACTCATATGTATATATACTTATACATATTATATACATATATTATATGCATAGGGAATCCCGGGAAAAGCGACATAAAATTAAGGGTTGCATCTATTAGGTCATGCGCAGAAGAACCTTCCCAGATGCAAGTGCCCAGATTTTATAGATAAAATTTAAAATCGATGCAGCTCTTTCCTGTTATATACACATATGTATATATACTTCTATATATATTATATACATATCATTAAATCAGCAACATTTCCCCCAGAAAATGTTTTTTGCTAGGGGTTGCAACTTTTAGGTCATGCGCAGACGAACATTCCCACATGCAACTGCCTAGATTTTATATATATATATATACAGTTGAAAGCTGCATCGATTTTCAACTAGGATGATTATATATACATATGTTTATATATATTTATATAAGTATGTATGTGTATATTATTTACAGAGTCCCGGTTAAATTAATATAAAATCAATATTAATCACATATCATAAAAGTAATATTTTTTCAGATTTTTCATGTTTTCTGAAAAATTTCTTTCATTTTTTTTATTGCCAAAACATAATTAATTTTAAAGAGTATTCAAGTGAATTTCATTATAAATCAAATTAAGTTTTTTTATGAAATAATATAGTATGTATTTTACAAATATTTAAACTTACAACTGTTTGGGTTACTTTTGGAATTGACTTCAATCACTGTAATAACTGTTCACTCTTCAAATGTCATAACTCGAATGATTTAATGTCCTGCACAATATGCCGGATATGTCAGAGCCTGAGTGGGTTGCATCTTTCGACTCATGCGCATAGGAAAATTCCCAGATGCAAATGCCCAGATTTTATAAATACAATTGAAAATCGATGCAGCTATTTCATGTTATATGTACATATATTATGTATAGCTTTATATATGTATATATTATATAGAAAGACAACCCCGGATAAAAGAACATGAATTCAATAATTTAGCAACATGTTTTCCTAGAAAATGTATTTTTATGGAAATTGCAACTTTTAGTAAATGAACATATGTAAGTATATGTAAATACAATTGAAAATGGATACAGCTATTTCCGGATATACATTATATACATACATATATATATTATATACAGAAAATCCAGAGCAAAACAATATAAAATCAATATTTTCGTGATTTAATTTCTTCCCAGATGCAACAGCCTAGATTTTACTAATTAAATAGAAAATCAAAAATGAAAATGAAAAAAAAAACTATATACATATATGACTTAAGGACTTAAATATATATCCTAAAACAATTTTTATATATGCACTTATAAGATGTCCTTAATGAATTATAAGGATGTCCAAGTCATTAGAAATTATCCAAAATCACAAACATCAATCAAGAACATTTTAGTATTCAATATATAATTATCATCAAAATCTATTAAATAATTTCATTCCTACCTAAATCTATATAAAATAATTATAGCAAAGAAACAATAGAAAAAACTTACAAAACTGTAGACATGTGTAGGAAACAGCTTCAATCACTTTGAAATACATATAATTCTAATAGATGTTTACTCTTTAAATATCACTACTTGATTGATTTAATACCTTGCACAATATGGCGGATGTGCAGCTTCCCGGGGTTGCATTTCAAAGCTCATGCGCGTTTTCCACCTACGCAATAAAATCAATATTGAAATTTCCCATTATTTAGCTTTTTCCGGGACATTCAATTATTTTATTGCGTAGATGGAAAACGCGCATGAGCTTTGAAATGCAACCCCGGGAAGTTGCACATCCGCCATATTGTGAAAGACATCAAAACGATCACGTTGTGACATTTAATGAGAAAACATCTGTCAGAATTATAAATATAAGTTTTTTATTACGTCTTATTTTATTATATAGATATTACATCAATAATAATTATTTTATAATTGAAATATAGAATCTGTTGATTCCATATGTTTTCATATAAAAATTATTTTTAATTATTGAATTTGACGTTTTTTCTTCTCAGAAAATATTTCTAAATTATTAATTTACTTTTGTTAATGCTAATTAAAATTTCAACTATTTAAAAAGTATATGTTCTATGAGAAAATTACAATTAAAATAAAAACATTGA